AACAACAAGTATGAAGGGTGAAATAACGCTTCATTATTCCAACTAAAGTTTAACAAAACTCCATCTTGGAGTTGTACAATAAAGCCGACACTTGGGCTTGAACTTAAGAAACTAAGGATTAAACTAATCTTAATTAAAGAGATATAGCCGAAGCTATCAAAATTCTAACAAAGTTGGCCCGTTAACGCTAATTGACTGTGAAGATATCAAGGGTCTAAAGTACGGCCGAGCATAATAATAGCTTACGAGAGCGTAGCCTAAAAAGGCGAACGCGGGCAGCCAGAATATCTGATATCTCTCTCACTAAGGCTGTAGAACTTCACGGTTAATAACGCTCTTCCTCATTCAGACGGGATTCTAAAACTACGCTCTGGCCAGAAGTGGTAAGTTGAAATTAAGATTCGATAGGAAAGGAAGTTTAACTCAAAATTTAACTGTTAATAAAATTAACATAATCCTTACACGTTTATTAACACACAAAACGTTCCATCTGCTCGAAACGCTCGTAATGCGGTGCATCAGGTTAGTTTACTCATTTTCTTTCATCAGATACCTAGTAGCGGAATGTCTAAGCCCACGCGACATACGTATCTTTGTATGATGCAGCCACCAGTAGCACTCGCTTTGGATGTTATATCTTAAAACCCATATCATACGAGGAAATTTACATAGTTCTCACATCGTGTTGAGATCTTATCACTGAGATACAAAGTTGTTTCGGGTAGCATGCATGTAGCGTCAAAGGATTCTTGTCAGCCAATGTTAGTTATATTCACTAAGTACTTATACGGCTATACTCCTCAAGTTTAGAAGGAATTTATGTAGTTAGGCTGCACTCTTGGTATTACTATACGTCAAAATTCAAATTTGGCCTGATCCTCGAAAATACTATGACTTATCTCACTAGTTCTAAACGTTATACAAGCTGTAAATCGCTTATCTTATGCCATTCTAAGGGCAGATACAATAATAGAAAATTTCAGAAACATTTTTCACTTTCTACACACACTGGAAGATGCTGCAAATGTTATAAATAAGTAGCCTTTTTATGTATGTTACATGTTGCGGCAAAGCCAGCGAACTATTAAAAATAACATTACCCTTTTTGTGAATGGCATCACTTACGTTTTTGTATTTATAAATATCTTTTGCTTGTCCTATACTTCATGTTTATGTTAAAAAATACACTCATGTCCATAAATTAAAGAATAATTCGGAGTCACGCCGAAATCGAACTCTAAAATAAATATATCACTTGTAAAAATCACTACATACATCTTCAAGAATCATATGCAAATTTCAGGAAGTAACCAGATGACACCGATGATACTTCACAGTGACGAGAGTGTAAGAGAGTGATATATAAGGAATACAGGCAAAGAAGTAAAATTGTTCGCGGACGCTTTATAAGCATTTCAGTGCAATAACCGAATAGTTATGACACAAAGGACGCATTTGGATGATTTTTTACTTGGTAGAATTATCGGCAGTCTGGAATGTGGGCGTACCCAACTGGAAGTATCAGACGAACTAGGAATTGCCCAGAGTGTCATCTCCAGGATTTGGCAACGATTCCAAGATGATGGTAATGTGAGTAGACGTTACAGCACAGGTCGCCACAGAGTTACAACACCGAATGAGGACCGGTATTTGGCAGTTACTGCCAAAAGAAACAGGCGGAGCACAGCCTCAGACCTGTCTTGTCAGCTCTCTTCAGCCACTGGTACGACAATTTCAAGGCAGACCGTGCACAGAAGCTTAGGGCAGATCGGTCTGTATGCTCGTAGACCTGTTAGATGCGTTTCACTTACTGCAACTCACTGTCGCCTGCGGTTAGCCTGGAGTAGAGAGCATGCATTTGTGGACACCGCAACAGTGGGCTTGTGTGATGTTTTCCGACGAGTCCAGGTTTAGCTTGGGCCCACCAGCGGCCGAGCGGTAAAGACGCTGAACACTGGTAGTTCGGTCTGAGGTTCGAATCCCGCGAACGGGCTGGCTGCATGGGCGTTTTCGTGGTTTTTCCCATGTGTAACGTGTATACGAGCCAGTTTCCCTTAGAAAGTCCTCCACGAAAGGCATCCCTCCCTTTAGGCAGATAGCCCTCGTGTGCTTTGCCATAATTAAATACATCAACATCAACACCAGGTTTAGCTTGCAATCTGAATCTTTCCGGACTTTCATATGGAGAGCTCCAGGTACCCGTTACAAGAAAACATCATTCAACGACACCGTTATGTTGGTGCAGGAGTGCTAGTTTGGGGTGGAATTATTCTGGGTTCCAGAACTGACCTGCATGTTCAAATTGGAACCATGACAAGCCAAATCTATCGGGACGTCATTCTGGAACAACATATACGTTTGTTTCGGGGCGCCATGGGCGCACAATTTGTGTTTATGGATGACAATGCCCGTCCTCACCGTGCAAGCATCGTAAGCGAATGCCTTCAATCAGAGGATATCACCCGTATGACTGGCCAGCATTCTCAGACTTGAATCCAGTAGAGCACGAGTGGGACATACTTGGCCGACGAGTTGCAGCCCGTCAACCTCCTCCTACATGTCTACCGTAACTTCGGAGAGCATTTGCTTTTTGAGTGGTGTAATATCCCCCAAGATCACATCGATAATTTGATACTCAGCATGCCTAGGCGTTGTACGGACTGTATTGCATCGTCTGGGAGACATACAATGTATTAACAATCATACCAAACATGTAATATTGGTTTTGTAAATAGGTTTTTTTTTGTAATTTGCTCCATTGAGAAAAAATCGCTAATGTTTTTAATAATATCAAACATTTAGCATCTTTTTTTGCTCTTTACCTTTTGTTTAATAAATAAGCTTTACAAATAAGTCAAATCTGTTCTGCTTCTAACTCTTCCATTGCCTGATTTTGCATTATCCTTAATTTATGGACATGAGTGTAAATAAGTATAAAACACTATCTCCTAATATCTGGTGCTGAAAAAACCATTTACGAAACAGTACCTTGAACTTATACTTCCTACTGTTGGATTATTCTTGCTGAATTATTTTACTTCCGATATTAAAACTTAGTTTTGTTATTGTTCTTTTCTACTACTCGGGCAATGGCGCCGACCGGTGAAGCTGTTGATAAAATGACGCAACTGAAACGAATGCGGAAAGCCGTGCGAAGTAATGTTTCTCACTCTTCTACTGAAATTGATACTTTGAACGATGATCTCTCAATTGAGAAAGTTGAATATATTTGTAATCGCTTAACAACTGCTTTAAATGATATGAAACTAATAGATAACGAAATTCACAACTTCCTTTCTGACGATGAATATGAAAGTGATAATTCACAGTGTGAAAACTACATAGATACTGGTGAATTCGCGATTTTCAAAGCACGAAAAATTATTCGAAATAAATTATCGCCAACTGCAAATAATGTTACTGCTTCGAATATGGATACCAATGATTTAGCGATGACATTTGGCGACCCTCCTACTACAGTGCCTATGACTCAACCATATACAATTAAATTGCCAACAATTAAACTACAGTCATTTACAGGAGAAATTGAACAGTGGCAATGTTTTTGGGAACAGTTTAAATCCTCCATAGATGCCAATCCACATCTTTCTGTTATTGGTAAACATGTTTTCCTCAGAGGTTATTTAGATGGTGAAGCTAAACGCCTTGTTGATGGAATTAGTGTAATAGGAGACACCTATCAAACAACAAAAAAATTGTTGGAGGAAAGATATGGAAATAAAGATCGAATTATCCAAGCACACTTAGATTACTTAGAACATTTAAATGTTATTCAAGACCCATCTCCTACGGATCTAAATGATCTTTACATAGAATGCAACAGAAGAATTCAAGCTTTAACTGCTCTGGGTGAAAATATTGAAGCATACAGTAGAATCCTAGTGCCAAAAATTATTCGTGCATTCCCCAATGATATTTGTTGCCGCTGGATTATCTATGCCAAGCGTGAAAAACTAAACGAAGGTAATATTACTAGATTGATGCAGTTCTTGGTAGAAGAAGTGGAAGGTGTAGTTGCAGCACAAAGAGTTAAAGGTACGTCTTTTTCTGATCACACCTTAAAGTGCGCTGTAGAAAATTTTAATATCAATTCCAAAACAGTAAACAAACGTAAGAAAATTTCACCATTTTGTTCATTTTGTGATACTGCAGGACATTGGCCTCAATATTGTGAAACTGTTACAGACTATGATACTCGTGTTCAGAAACTTAAAACTTCAAATCGCTGCTTTCTGTGTACTAACCGTGGTCATAGAGTTTCAAACTGCCCAAGAAAAAATACTGCACGATGCACTAAATGCAAGAAAAGGCAAAAAAAGGCGTCATGTTTCTATTTGTTCTACCCTTGAAAACAATCAACTGAGGATAACTAACAGTGCTGTAAATCACATAACCTTTCCTAAAACAATTTTCACACATTTGCAAACTGCTCGTGTGTATGTTACTGGCCCCACAGGCATTACTAAGTTAACACGCTGCATTTTAGATGGTGGTAGCCAAGCAAGTTTTGTTCACACAAACCTCATTGAAAACCTTAAGATTAAAGTTGTCAGTTCTGCCTCACTTTCAGTTCAATCATTTGAATCTTTTACTTCACAAGAACAACGTAGATGTGTTCAACTGTCACTTTCAAGTTTGTGGAGCAACCAAGCAGTTTTGATCTCCGCATTTGAAAGCTCCAATTCCTATACTACACATCCTACTGCTCCACCAGAAATAGTTCACTTTGCTCAGAAGAAAAGATTGAGAATTGCTGATCCTCCGGATGATGCTTCAGTGCTCATAGAAATACTTATTAGTGGTGATCATTATTGGCAAACTGTTTCCGCCGAAGCTCCAATCAAGCTTTCAGAATCTTTTGTTATGGTATCGTCAGTGTTTGGATGGGTTCTTAGTGGAACAAGAACACATACTACAATCGCTGAGAAGACTTCTTACCTCGTTCTACCTTACCTCGTTTGGAGCTCTTGGCGGCCCTGATGGAAGCACGATTGTTGCAATATTTCTGTGCTGAAACAAACATCTGTTCGTCAAATGCAACATTGTGGAGTGATTCTCAAGTTGTCTTAGGGTGGATACGCAGTGAGCCCAACAAATGGAAAACTTTTGTTAGCAACAGAGTAACAGAAATTATTTCCTATATCAATCCTTCACAATGGAGACATTGCCCTGGCAAAGACAATCCAGCTGACAAACTTTCTCGAGGTGTTTCACCATCAACACTAAAAAACCTGGAAATTTGGTGGAACGGCCCTCCATGGTTAGTCAAATCTCTAGAATATTGGCCTCATTCTGATACTATATCTAAAGATTACAGTCATAACTTCGAGGCAAAGAAAGAAAAAGTTCAGATCCTTCACATCGTATCTACTCAACCAATCATAAAGCCTGGAAACTACAGTTCTTACTTTCGATTGTTACGTGTTATATCTTGGATTCTTCGCTTTATTCACAACTGTAGGAAAGAAGAAAAGTTAGTGGGTGAATTACATGCCACAGAACTGAATCGAGCTCGTATTTATTGGATACAGACCGTTCAGAAAGAATCATTTCCTTCAGAATATGAAGCTCTGTTGACAGGAAAATCACTCCCTAAGAAATCAAGGATAAAACAATTTAACCCTTTCTTCAAGAACAATATTATACTTCTCAGTGGTCGACTACAATTTTCTGATTTATCTCATGCTAAAAAACATCCCATATTATTCGAAGGTTCTCATCATTTTACAAGCCTGCTGATACGCCAAACACATTTACGAATGCATCATTTCGGTGTTCGGATTGTACTTTCTCAGCTTCGTTCAGAATATTGGATATTACGAGCAAGACAAGCCATTAAAAAGGTGATAAAGACTTGTCTTCCATGTAAAGTACTGAAACAAAAGAGAAGTGAACAGATAGGAGCTCCATTACCAGCTGAGCGAATTCAAAAGTCATCTCCTTTCGAAACTACCGGAATTGATTTTGTTGGACTCACGTCTACATAAAAGCAATTACATTACAAAAGCTTACATTGTCATCTTCACATGTGCTACAACTCGAGCTATCCACTTAGAATTAGTTTCCGATCTGCATACTGACGTCTTCCTACTTGCATTACAACGTTTTGTCTCTAGACGTTCACTTCCTCATACAGTGTACACTGATAATGCCACAACGTTCTGTGCTGCGAACAAAGAGCTGAAATTATTGTGGGATACTATATCCTCTGCCAAGGCACAACAGTTTTATGCCCACCACAACATCAAATGGAAATTCATCGCCCCCTGAGCGGCTTGGTGGGGAGGATGGTGGGAAAGAATGATAGGCTCAATTAAGCGATGCCTTCGGAAAACTTTAGGTAAGGCCTTTTTTGGATGATGCTGGTTTGATCACTGTATTATGTGATATTGAAGCCGCTCTCAACAGTAGACCGATTGTCCACGAATACGGAATAAAAGATGACTCTAAGGAAGCTTTAACACCCTCGCACTTCCTCATAGGAAAGAAATTAACTACTATTCCTTCCAGCCTCACAAATCCTGAAACAAATTTAAATCGTATGTGGAAGAATCGTCAACATTTAATGGACTCCTTTTGGAAAAGTTGGCAAAAGGAATATTTGATGGACTTGCGTACATTTCATCAAATACGGAATCCATCTGAAACAAATAAAATACGGAAAGGGGACATTGTCCTACTACAAGAAGATGTTAGACCTCGCCACACCTGGAAGAAGGCCCGTGTTGAGGAGCTAATCCTTGGCCGCGACAAAAAAGTCCGTACTTGTGTTTTGCGCACCAATGGATATACCATTACCCGACCTGTGCAGCTGGTCATCCCCCTGGAGGTTGACCAGGGTGGGGAGGATGTTGCGGCAAAGCCAGCGAACTATTAAAAATAACATTACCCTTTTTGTGAATGGCATCACTTACGTTTTTGTATTTATAAATGTCTTTTGCTTGTCCTATACTTCATGTTTATGTTAGGAAATAAATAAGTATAAAACACTATCTCCTACTACTACATAAGCTTGACTGCGTCAATTTTATGTCATTTTAATTTATATACTGAACCCTATTTTACATATTTTTCGTAAAAAAATTTATAAAATACATCGTTTCTTCCTACAGTTATTATGTTTGTATAATTTTGCTTACGAATGATACTGTTCATGTACACTCACTAGGTTGGCCTAATGCGTTAACATAAGAATCACATTAAAGATCTTTTTTCTCACATGAACGCATTCGGTTAGCTTAGTGTCCTACCATGTAGTACTTAATGCATTATCTCTATATCAAATACATACGTTATAATTATTTTCAAGCACATAATACTTAGAGTAATTTTTTTCTGATTAGATCGTTATGCACAGCATCACTTTCATACAATATTTTCTGTAACCATAGACAAACGATAGAAGAATTATGGACTGGTCTACTACCTCTTCAGAAAAAATAAAATTTTTAAATGGAAAATTTCAAGAGGCTAAATCCATTAGAATGAATGCATAAAAGTTTACTATTTATTCAAAAAACATAATGCGTGCACAGCATTCATCTGTTTTGGTTGTTTGATTTTAAAAGAATATAAGGTATTTTCCCCTACTTACTGCGTTACGTCTGTCTGGCAATCGGGAGTCTCGACGATCGAATACCGCAGAGGCCTCAGCACTTTTTTCATGTCTCCTGCTTCAAATAATCTAACCGAATTTATAAGACAAAAATCTTCTTATTTGCATAGAACATTATAAGCATTTAAGAAAAGTTCAAAAGTACTCGAACGGGATTAAAATGTAAAGTGATCGGAAATTCCATAACGAAATGGATAGGCTGTATTTTTAATTATCTATGACTCCCTGCGGATCTGCTGTAAGCGTGTCATGCCCTTCATTCCAAGATAAGCTGCCCAGCAAGTCGCTTAACACTGGCAGTTCGATTCCTGATGGGTTCAGGAATCGTGGTGAATGGTCTGGCTAAAGGGGATACGAAGCCTTTTTCATTAAAATGCCCCTTATCTTGCATCTATCCTCATAGACAGGTAGCACCCAACTTGCTTTACCTTAATCATCCAACCTAACCTTCCAAGGCCTATTACTATCCTTTTTCGATTTCTAAGTTTATCTGAATTTAAAGTAATAATTTTTATTAATAACTAAATAGGGAATGCAGTGTTAAATGTTTTATTAAAAGTATTTTCTATAGTAACAGAAAGCCAAATAAATTTAACTCTCAATGTTAATGTTATCTGTTACCTAGACCTAGAAGTTTCGTTGAGGTCGAGCACTATATATATTAAATCTTATTTCTGTATTTTTTATGTTCTTGCTAAATTATTTTGTTCCTTTATTAGGAAATATAAGTGACTGGTTTCATTTATTTTTAATAAATTCAAATTAACTATTACGTTAGTGATTTATATAAATTTTATTCATTTTAATCTTCATTAGCTGAATATATTCATTCATCTGATGTCTTCACAGTATCCTAAAACATTTCCTGTCGTTTCAATGCTTTCTCATATTCGGATTTCTTCATTTGAGTCTCATTATCAGTGAGCTAAAAACAAATCCTAAATTCACTGTTCAAGGAGCTGAAAATTAAACTAAGAAATGTTAAGGTCTTAAATGATGGCATCGGGCTGCCTGATTACATTTAATCTCAGGTAGCTTTCCAAAAAGGACTTAGCTGTTATTAATGAAAGAAAAACACCTGTTGCTGAAAAGATTATAAAGTGCCCATTTCAGTATCAGAATAAATTCAATTCTGGCTCTGTCATTTATTTATAAGTTTTGATGAATTATTCACAAATCCAACAAATTAAAAAACCACATTTGCAGAACTCTGCGTTTGTTATTTATTTATAAGTTTTGATGAATTATTCTATGAAGGCAACGAATTATAAACCACGTTTGCAGAATTCGGCTATTCAAAAGAAATCTTCAAATATTTTCTTAAAGTGATATATTTGGATTCCGCGGAGTTATTATAAGACGAATTTTTATGAGATAACGGAAAAATTCTGTGTCATAGCGATTGCAATAACCAAGCAGAAAAAACTTCCACGCGATTTAAGAAACTTTTGTGAGAACTTAGAATGGTGAAAAGTGTGCCAAGAAAGTGACTGGAAAAATATATTTCAGTAATTTTATTTTCAGAACGTACTCTTCAAACGAAGACTCATGATGCTGCCATTTATATTAGAAACCAAGTTGTCCTGGAGACAATGTAACATTTTATTGCTTTCAGTTATATTTTCTGACCCGATTGGTGCATCACTATAGTACTAATTTCGAGTATGCACAAAACATGTTCTTTAAAGTTCCTGTTAAAAAAATTTTTTTTTCTCCTGTCTTGGAAATTATAAACTGATATATTTTAGAAACGATTTCGGGTTTCTTTGTATCGGAAACATGCTGTGGAATAATATCTGAGAGTGTTGTACAGATGGATTACCAGATTACGGATAGCTGATACTCCATTGTACAAATGGCCTTTCCAGAAAATAAAAACTAATTTTCAAATTTGTATAAAAAAATTAAACTCATTCTTTATAGATCAAAGGAATTTGTACTTTAATACAATAACAGGCATTACGTCGAAAAGCATTTGTAGTTACATCACGAAAATTATCGATCAAACAACTAAAAATTATGAATTATGACAAAGAAGGAGCTTTCCTGATACTGATGACATTTAATGCAATTTTCGTATAGATATGAATTCTGCATTCATTTTTTTCCTCCCGCCCCACAAAATGCCCTATGGCTTTGAAGAGGAAATGCAACTGGAAGAATATTGGAGTGGAGCCTAAATTAGTTTTTGAAGTAGAGGATTGGATGCTATATTTCTCAAGGTTGACAGATAAGAAATAAGTCAGGCGTTTTCTGAACTTAGCTGACAGTTTTTAGCAGAAAAATAAACATAATATTTAAACGCAAGAAAATAATGCAAATAGAACAAAACTTATTGATTTCTAATGCTTTTGAGAGTAAATTGGCAAAATGTAAAAGAGATGTAAAAAAAAAAAAAAAAAAAAGCTATCGTGTTTGAAAGGCTGTGATCACCTTGTCCCTATTAAGGAGGAAAGTGCTTCCATAATTTTGAAGTAAGTAACAATTGGCAATATTTGACAGCACTTAGGTAATGAAAATTAACTCGCTATTGTTCTAAACTTGCCAATAATGATTTAGATTTCATCAGATATTCGGTAAATATTTCATTTTTAATTAGTTGTCGAAAAGAATTCCTGGAACTAAGTACTAATTTAGAAACAAGAGATGCATTCGAGGAGAAATCTCTTATAATGTTTGTTTTTTAATATGTTAATCGCATTCAGTCAACGATACAATAAATGTTTTGTGGACTAATTCAGTTTATTACTCCATAAACAGAATTATCAGGGGCTTGTTGATTTTCTCCTTGCAAGAGAGAAAAGAAACACGCCAAAGTAGAACACAAAATAAGGCAAAGCAACAAACCTGTCTTTGACGTAGATTTCAATTAAGGCTCCATCTATTTAGACGCGAACAGGTACAAGTTCCTCTTCATCAGAAACAAAAAGAGAAAGAACCAAAGGCCTATTTCTGGGGACAGATGACACTACCTTTTCGTTCTCTTTACTCTTGTGTTTTTGTTACAAATATGACCGCTGGAGTTTCCTTTCTTTTCAGAATTTCTTTGCTGTTGCTGAAGAGGCACCTGTATCTGTTCGCCTTCGAAATCGATAGAGTCTTAATTGAAATCTCCGCCTAAAACAGAGTTGTCTAATTTGCCTAATTTTATGTTAGTTTTTACAACTCTATCTGCATCTTCGTGAGTTGGTCTTTACAACTCGAAATATTTATTCGAAATGAGAAAGAAGCAAGAGAAATAGAATAGTAGATGAAATTTCAGCAAAAGGAATCACAAATTCCCCGTTTATCTCATTCTCATCATAATTTAATTGTCTTACCCAATATTTGTACTTTTTTTAAAAATGTAATTGTTGTCTAAATTTAGTCTGC